ATCCACTCACCTCAGCCTCCCAAAGCGCGGGATTACAGGCTGAGCCACCAAGCCCGGCAAAAATTATTTCAGTAAAAAGAGAGAAAGAGGGAAGAGTCAGACATAAAAAAAATCTTTAAGAGAAAGAGTAAGGTACATACACAGGAAAGCACTTCAGGAAAGGCAGAGCTTCAGTAGAACAGTATTGACTACCACCCCAGTGTTGTTACATTAGACTAGTGTTCTCATAGAGACCTTAAGAGCAATTTGAGATTTTTATGACCAAAAGTTCAGAGAGTTTAAAGAGGAAAGTGATGAAATACAAATTATCTTTCTAGACTGGGCGCGGTGGGTCACACCTGTCATCCCAGCACTTTGGGAGCCCAAGGTGAGAGGATTGCCTGAGCCCAGGAGTTCGAGACCAGCCAGAGCAACTTGGCGAGACCTCATCTCTACAATAAATTGAAAAAATTAACTGAACGTGGTGGTGCATGTCTGTAGTTCCAGCTACTTGAAAGGCCGCAGCAGAAGGATCACCTGAGCCCAGCAGGTCGAGGCTGTGATGGCCAGGAGCGTGCCACTGCCCTCCAGCCTGGGTGACAGAGTGAAACTTCAACTAAAAAAAAATTATCTTTCTACTCTCAGTGGATTTTTTTAGGCTGCCTGGGTTGATGTTAATTTTCTAAAAAACACTTGAAACAGTAATTTTTAGACCAGGCACAGTGGGGCGAACCAGTATTTCCAGCTACTTGGGAGACTGATGCAGGAAGATCCCTTGAGCTAAAGAATTCGAGGCCAGCCTGGACAATGTAGCAAAACCCTGTCTTTCAAAAAAAAAAAGTAATTTTTCAGTGGCACAGTTTTCGCTGTTTTTTGTTCCATAAAACTATCAAGGTGAATATATTCAGTGGTCTAAAACTCTGTTTAAAATCTAAGATGGGGCTGGGCTTGGTGGCTCAGCCTGTAATCCCGTGCTTTTGGGAAGCTGAGATGAGAGAATTGCCTGAGCCCGTGGGTTCGAGACCCGCCTGGGCAACTTGGCGAGACCTCATCTCTACAATAAATCAAAAACTAGCCGGGCGTGGTAGCGCGTGCCTGTAGTTCCAACTACTTGAAAAGCTGAAGCGGAAGGGTTGCCAGAGCCCAACAGGTTGAGGCTGCGGTGGCCGGAAACGTGCCACTGCACTCCAGCCTGGGCGACAGAGTGAGACTCAAACTCAAAAATAATAATAATAATAATAAAATCCAAGATGGGGCCAGGATCAGTGGCTCAGCCTGTAATCCCAGCACTTTGCGAGGCCAGGGTGAGTGGATTACCTGAGCCCACGGGTTTGAGACCACCCCAGGCAACGTGGCGAGATCTCATCTCTACAGTAAATCAAAAAAGTTAGCCGGTATTGGACACCTGTAGTTCCGGCTACTTGGAAGGCTAAGGTGGAAGGATCGCCAGAGCCCAGCAATTCTACATTGGGGTGGCTGTGAGCGTGTCACTGCATTCCAGCCTGGGCAACGGAGTGAGACTCCAATTCGAAAAAAAAAATCCATGATGGTAGCTTTACCTCTGTAAATAGTCTTAGCTCTCTTTTTATAATGGTAACACCTAGAAAGCCAAAGCCCTAGAAAAGTTTGATGGAATAAGTGATAGATTCTCCTGCTTTGTGTACCTGGGAGCTAGCTAGCCAAACTTCACCACAAAGGATAGATCTAAACTGTTTCTGAAATGTTTACATTTCTTTCTTTTTCTTTTTCAAGGTTAAAAAAGGTTTATTAGGAAGACTAAAATGATAGTGTGATAAATGGAACAGCTGGGCTATACAGGAAAGTTCTTGGAAAAATCCCCTTCTGATGTTCTCCAACATTTACATTCCATTTATATGCACCTGTTCTTTCCTCAGACCTCTATCTTCAAATATTGGATAGTCAAGGATGACAAAAGAGAAAGCCTTCAACATATCTTGTCTTTTTTGCCCTGTTGTTAAATTTTAAGCTTCACAGACATTTGAATACATATAATAAATTTGGTTTGTGAGGCTTAGAATTTAACTGCTTACAAAACTCCTGAGCTCTTTCCAGACTGAACACTTCTGAGGACATTTCATGACATACTCAACAGCATCAGTGTTCAGTTAGGTGGGAGCTCACAGGGTAATCCAGCCAATTCTAAGTAAGGACCCAGAGAACCTCTGTGTGAACCATGAGTTTAGGCTGGGCACTGTGGTTCATGCCGGTAATCCCAGTACCTTGGGAGGCCAAGATGGAAGGATCACTGAAGTCCAGGAGTTCAAGACCAGCCTGGGCATCTCTACAAAAAAAAAAAAAAAAAATTCAGCTGAGTGTTAGTGGCATGCGCCTGTAGTCCCACCTACTCAGGAGGCTGAGGTGGAAGGATTGCCTGCCAGGAGGTCGTGGCTGTGGTGAGCCGTGATTGCACCACAGCTCTCCAGTCTGGGCAACAGAGTGAGACTCCAACTCAAAAAAACCCCAAAACAACAATGAGTTTAGATGAATCACAAAGTGGTAAGGTTTTTTTGAGGGCCAAATGAAGAAAACTACTGGGCATTGTCTAAAGCAGCTGAGTCGCTGCCCCAGACAAGTGAGTAAAGCCTCCTGGAGTGAAGATTGGTGTTGAGAGCAACATCTAACTCGCTCTTGATAGGATCCATGATATTGGGATGATTAAAGCCAATTGATTAAAAAGATTGGTGTATGTTGAGAGCAAAATCTAACTGGTTGTTGGTAGGATCAATTATATGAGGGTGATTAAAACAAATGTGTTGCTCTTTGGGGTCAGAACTTTTTTTTATTCATTTAAAATAATATTTTAAATTTTATTTTAAAGCTGTGAGGTACAATTCAGGATTAGGTATACAAGTGGTCATTGTACAGGTAAAGTTTGGGCCTTACTTTGGTACCCACTTTGTCTGGCTTGAGATCAGGTACCTTATTGATGCAGAACTTTATTTTATTTTATTTTTTTTTTTTTTTGAGTTGGAGTCTAACTCTGTTGCCCAGGCTGGAGTGCAGTTGCATGCTCACGGCCACTGCAGCCTTGAC